TTCTATAACAACCTCACTATCTCATTTGTTCGCCTCTTTATGTGATACTTATAAGGAGACCAAACAACTCATAAATTTAATGTAACAATTTGTTGGATTTTCATTTATAAATCCTAGTATTTTGTATGTATCACAAAAGCAGCTATTTTTGAACAACTTTATGAACATATCACAAGTTAAGAATATTAAAATGCTAAACACGAGGAGTACTCAATTAAAATATATAGCAATGTCTAGTTTCTCTTCGTTGTCACTTATTTACTAATTCCACCAAGTTTGTCACATAAAAAAGTCGATAAGTGACAAAAAAAAATTTTTGATGCTACAAAGAATGGGGAGCAAAATGAAGTTTCCTTAGAACTATTGGTCCAAAAGGAAATTACAAGGAAATATGAGCAAAAGTAAAAGCCGTAGAAGCAGCCTCTATAATTTCTCACTTAACATCTACCCGGATTCAGGGAATCTCATGAACAAAGGACTCTTCATCTTCATGACAACCTTAACTTTACAGAATCGCCTCTCTTTAATAAATTATTAATTAACTTTGAGAAAATTATAAGATTAGAACATCACAGATATGCAAATCGGATTCATACATGTTTGGCTAAGCTTAAAAATTACTTTTAAGTAATTTATACGTATTAAACATGTTTGGCAGAAGGTTGGTTGTATCTAAAACTGAGATATCCTTGATCAACTACATCACGTATAAATACAAGAAGGATTCGAGTACAAGACACCATCACAAGATAATTAGTATCACAATCTTTGCATGCAGTGCAAGATCACAATCACGAGCACGAGCCATAGCTTGTATGATTATCACAAATTACATATCCAAGTACTGTATCCATCCATTTGTAAAAGTAGTAAAATTTCTTTAGAAGATATATTAATCAAGAACTTTACTCTCTGTATGATAGATATAAAGTATTTGGATAAGACTTTGAAAAAAGATCAAGTTGTTCATCATGGGATAACATATATAACATGTACAATTTTTAGGTGCCTAGGAACTGAGATGTCCACAGAAGCTATGGCATCACATGTCGCATATGTTTGGTAAATCATTTTGTAATTATAAATTGTGAATTTTATGGAATGTGTGGATTAACAAGTGGAACATTTCCAACCGTTACGTGGTTATCAATAACTTCAATAGTGTGCCTTAACTTATGGAATTGAATTAACAGTAACTTCGTGCTATTGGAGTTCAGTATCAATTTGGATCCAGAAAGAATTGCGTCTTGCCATGGAATGCGCAAGTGCAAGTTATTATAAAACTTTGACAGATTAGTTTTATTTTTTCGTGATCGTCATTAGTATTTTACAATATCATAAGAGTCGAATTGGGTTAGTCGGTTCGACTGGAAAAACAGGGAATGCCAAAACAACAGAACGTCATACAATTAAGCACCAGCATACAAAGAGGGATACAATTAAAGAACGCACAAGAATACCAAAACAATGGAAACAAACAGTCAAAGAACGATTTTTTTGCAACTGAAGAGAGATCATTGATAGAAAGTCTTGTCTCCTTAGGTTTTGCGCGGAAAAATGGTAAAATATGTCTGTACCGCTGTAAGGAGAAGGGCGATAATTGCACCTAGAACAGCCAAGAAAGCCCAAGGACTGCTAAAATATTTATGCATCCATTCTTCAACCATGCACGATTGTACCCAGGCTGGTAATTTTTTCTGGCAATGATTTTGAATCTGATACATAACGTTTGCATATGCATGAGGATGAGGTATCAAATCCTGCGATATCTCCACGAAGAGTTTTGCCAATTGTTCATCACTGCCTAAATAGTTGACAAGAATTGTTTTCTTCCTGAGCTCTTTAACATCATCAGGATGATCAATGAGTGAATCCATTAGACAAATGTATGACGTAATGTGCAAATCAGAAGGGCCATGGGGACACTTCTCATAAGCCACCAAGTTTAAAAACAAAGATTTTGTTCTATCATCAATAACGATAGAAGGAAGTGTAAGAGTACTATAAATAAGGCGAGATTTGAATTCTACATCAGTAAGATTTCCAGTTTGGCTTGGTTTGAAATGAATTCCTGTTGATTTGAGCTCAGTTAGTGAACGATACGATTGCCGTTTGACAAATGTGTTCTTGTTTTGACTTTCATGCATAAATGGACTGATGAGTTGTTCCCGCACTAGATGCAGAAGGTGAGGAGGGCTTGAATCCAAATCTAATTTCCATTTAGTCATTTCTTGACCACTTTTAGTGCAGCATTCCTTCATTTGTGCAAGAAATTTCTTGACATCATTAGTGCATGAATTTTCCTCAGCTGGCATTAAGATGTACCGATCGAGGAACTTCTGAATACATGATGTCTGGTCTGTTTCTCTTTCAAACCTGAATTCCAACAGAACTTCTAGTACTAGAAAAGGAATTTGATTCTCTAGCAAGAGCAAGTCCCTCAACACAGAGTACAAACTCTTAACCACTATTTCAGTAACTTCGTTTTGTTCCTCACCTTTTAAGTCAGTAACCAGTCGTTGATCTACTTCGTTTTGCTCCTTATCTTCTAAGAAAGTGGACAAAAAATGAAGCACAAAGCAAGCATCAAGAAACATCATTCTGTTGAACAATTTATAGTCATCAAAACCAGTTGAGTCTTTCTCATAGGCATAGCATTCGAGGGCACTTTTACCCTCCCTTGCCACCGCTTCATATATCTGTTTGATGGGTACTTTCTTTTCACAGGCATGCCAAAATTTCAGCGCAATTGGAATTTTTAGCTTCTCGAATGCTTTGAGCTCTGGCTTTCCATGATGATAAGGGCCTATCGAAACTACCTGAGGATCATAACAACCTTTGTTTGATTCAATCACTCGCATCAGTGATGGAACCTTTTCTATTTGAGGTTTCTCTGTTGCGTCTTCAACATGGTTCTCTATAGAAATCAACCACTCATCCCGGCCCTCAGTAGTGTTATCGCTTGATTCTTGTGATTTTGTGCAAATTTGAGGGATTTCAGCACTCTTTTCCGTGGCTCCAACTGTTGTCATCCCTTGGACGTGAGCATGAATTTGATTCAGCACATATTATTAGCAGCTTGTTTGATAAAATTTTATCAACATAGTCAAAATTTAATTTTTAAACACCGTATCAAGGAATTCATAACGTTTATCAACTTTTCAACCCATATTTCATCAATTTTAAAAAAAAAATCTGTTTAATTTGTTATTTAAAACTCTGTCAAACAATTCCTAGATTGAAATTTTAGGTCAACCATCATGTTCTTTGAGAAGAAAATTAGATTAAATATTTACTACTAGAAAGAAGACAGGTCTAGCAAGTTCCCAAGCATTCCAGACTAGAAACCTAACGAGGGTTATTCCAACAACAAGGGACTAACACATGATATGATACACTTTTACAAGAAAGTGGTACTCTTAACATTTTGATGACAAATGAACTTGTAACGCCGTTCATCCCAACTATTAGTGGGCCATTACATACGTTATCTTTCATATTGAAGAATTTATGCAAATAAATTAGAAATTTGATGGAGAATTGTTCAATATACGAGATAACAATAATTATATTCGATTTAGAACTTGACAAGAATTTTGAAAAAACTTTATTTTTATATCCAATTCTATCTTGAAAAGTAACCTATGATTATTAAATGCAACAATACAAAAGATTAGATAACATGCAATAATGATTAGTTGTAGAATGTGTCCGTATTAACAACTAGACATAATTAGAATCAATATATAAGGTAGAGTTAAATGTAACAAACAAGAACAATATTTAAGAAAAATCCTTCAGGTGAGGTGAAGTGGGGGTACCTTTTGATCCCATGGAGGATAAGCAGCAAACTTATGTTTGAGTAATAAGTAAAAAGATGTTTGTTTATTGTAATAACATATGAAACAATATCTTGCATTTATACAAGAAGGGAATAGCTTAGACAAACTTAATTTTGTAGAATCACTTTAGAAAACTTCCTACTTAATTTTCAACAAATTATAAGCATAGAATAATAGTACATGCTAAAGATTGTGCTTTAATTCAGAAAGAATTAATTTCATCTTTATTCGTTTAAGCATAGAATAATAGTGTTATGCTGTTCTCTTAATTTTTTTCCCCTTTAAGCATAGAATAATAGTATTATGATGTTCTCTTAATTTTCTTCTCTTATAGCATATTTTTGATGGGTAATATTGGATGGTTCCGAATCATATTAAAAAAAATACGTTAAAATTTTGTTCATCTTCGTCCAATCATTATGATTGCGTATCAAACATGCACTTGGGGCATGTGAAGTTCTAAATAAGATTAAAGAATAGAGACATGATTAATTTTTATGTATAAAAGTAAGCCAATAATGTTTTTAATATTGTTAGAATTCATGCAAGGGTGGAGAGTTGAGAACTCATCAAATTTCACATTCAAAATGCACACGGACAAGTTATGCCTTGGAATGAAAGACGGTTTTGAATCACGCGAAAAAAAAAAAAAAAACTCCATCAAAATCCTGAATGTCAAAAAATTTCCAGTAAACACATTTCTTAGGTAGAGTTCTTTCACGTGTCTACGATGCCTATCCATATGAAGGGCTGGATCGTGTTGGATAACAATAACTTAGTTCCTGTTCGGTGGAAATTAGATTTTAATCAAAGTAAAAAAAACAACAATTTAATTTTAAATGGAATCCACAATTTTTCAAATGCATATTTCATCCATTTCTATCAAAATCACCAAACAAGAACCTATTTTACACCCTTAAACATGACTAAGAGGAGTTGGCATAAAGCATATAAGAGAGGCTTCAAGTCCTTGATGAGGGAGATTATGTAGAATTAATCAAGCGTAATGCACCAAATAAATTCTCGAAAAATTATGAATCAAATGAAATTAGAAGCACATGTTCCAAATAAGATAGATTCAAAACTAGAACAAGAGTCTCACATCTAACAACATAGAAAGTAAATTCTATACAATTCAAAGTTTATGTTGTCTACTCTCTAAGCCAAAACACTGAAATCATTCTGCCGGGCAACCTCCTCACTGCTACTGAGGGTCGACTGGGGTACGACATCAACAGTAGCATGGGAACCAGGCGGCATATTTTGATCTGAGACATGAGAAAGCTTGCATTCGTCTTTGTCAGCAGCATGATCGGAGGGCAATTCATCAACCCCATCTGTTATGTCACAATCAACGTCGTCAGTTACCTCACAAAGCTGTTCTCCAATAACTTCTTGAGCTATAGGAGACCACTCTCTGTCGTCACCTGCATTAGCCGGGATGGATAGAAGATGATTATGTCGTCAGTTACATCACAAAGCTGTTCTCCATTAACTTCTTGAGCTATAGGAGACAACTCTCTGTCGTCACCTGCATTAGCCGGGATGGATAGAAGATGATTATTAACATCACCATCCACATGATATAGTTGTGCATCATCATCATCATCATATAACTGGGAATGGACGTTCATATTAACTGCATAATACTGCTCAGGATCATCTTTTCGTCTACGTTTACCTATTTCCCTCCTCCTAACCCTTTCCTTCTCTCTTATCCTTTTTCCGACATCATTTTGTGGATCCGTTATAAAAACTGTCGAACTTCTGGCATGATCCCTCAAACATTCATGTGCAACATACCTGATTCTCGTCACTGACTGTATCTGTAGATCGTCCATCCCATGAGTTGAGAGAGTATCGGCTAGATGTGCAATATCCCTCAATGCAGCATTCTGTAATGTAAACAAAAACGAACAGGAAAAAAAGTGATGAACTACAATCAGGGCCGGTTCTGTGATCGGCGGGGCCTGAGGCGAAGTCCGAAAATTGGGCCCCCAGAGATTAACGTAAACCCAAAACTATGAGTGCATTATGCAAATATCTAATGCCCAATACTTAGCCTAAAAGACAATTACAAAATATCTCAATCATCTCACAATTAAAGTATTCAATACAGTGACTACGTGCGCCTGTGCAATTGATCCTACACGCTACAATGAATATTCATACAAGCTGACAAGGCCACAATTATATAAGCCGACAAGGCTTCAAACATTTTCAATATTAAGTTAGAGAAAGCCATTGCTTACTTGAGAAGTAGAAAATCCACGAAAATTGTGGAATCACGCCCTATTCCAGCATCCAGCGTTGCACATTTAAGTTGTCGCAAGCCTGAAATTGAATCATTCACAAATCATTCAAAACTGAAATTGAAATTGAATCATTCACAATTTCACAAAAGCCCCAAAACCGAAATTAGACAATGAAAACTGAAATTAGACAAATCACAATTTCACAAATCTGAAATTAGACAAATCATAATTTCACAAATCTGAAATTAGACAATGAAAACTGAAATTA